TAATGGTGTTACATACATCCTGTTCTCTCCCTTAGACATACAGAAAGGCTTTGCAAACAAGGGAGAAGGTGTGAGACTATGAGTTTAAGGAGAGGCCAGAGTTGCAACTGTGGTGCATTAGACTGAAGGAAGTTGCCTGTAGTCTACCATGAGTGGGAAGAAAGGAGAATGGAAAAGACATGCACAATATGAAAGATAGAGCGTGTCACCATTTTACAAAGCTTAGATATGGACAGCAAGGCATCACGGTGGTGGAAAAGTTTACTTACACATGAACTCCCATTGGCAAATATGAGGACTGTTTTTCTTTCAGGGCAGTTAGTAGTTTTTTTTTATTTTTTAAAGAATTGTCTCCAATTAGGATTATCTACGCCAGGGCTTTTTTTCCATTAGTTTTTTTTCTGTGATGTGTCTATAATCTCTTACTTTGTAAGGCTATGAATCTAGTGTGGGTTCTTCCTGTACAATAATGAATAATCTCAGAATTATATATTTCTTAAATATATGGTCTCACCTCCTTTTCTTCCTCCAATTAAAAAACTTATTTTTGGGAAGTATAAAGAAAGAACTACAATCTACTGAATTATGAACATAGTCTAAGCACTGTGCTAAGGACTGTATAAGCATTATCTCATTTAATTGAAACAACAGTCCTGTGAGGTGGGAATTATTTATAGTCCCATTTCATAGATGATGAAACTGAAGTTCAGAGAAGTTAAATAACTTGACCAATGACGCATAGTGAGTAACTGGTAGACATACGTCAAATTGAACCCACTGTCACTTGACTCCATAGCCTGAGCTTCCATCTGCTGCATATGTAGCATTGTCATCTTATTAAATGAGATAACGTGTTTAAACCACAGTGGTTGACAGCAGGGACTCACTAATTATTAATTAAAGCAATTTTCAAATCGAAACTGGTATAAGAAGCTCAAGATTTTAAGGGGACATGCAGTAAGAGACCGGTGAGACGCTGTACCTATGCTGCTGCCATCAGTCCAGCGTTCATCCTCATCGAAATGGGCGTCTCCTCCCAAGCCTGGCCCAGGTGAAAAGGCATGAGCCAGTGTTTCCTGGCCTATCAAAAGGGTAGAAGTCCCCATGAGCTGAAAGAAAATA